CCCCCCCCCCCCCCCCCCCCCCCCCCCCACACACACACACACTTTAATGCTAGGTATTGAACCCCTGGCCTGGACCTTGCTATGTATGTTCTCTACCATTGAGCTGAACTCCCAACCCCTGATCTCTAATTTCAAATTGGGCAAAGTAATCTTTTCCTAATGCACAAGTGACCTACGAACATAGGAAAAAATATTTAGTGTCCCTGGTAAAAGAAGGAATTTAAGTTCAACGAGGAATAATTTTTAGCTACAGAATTTGTGAGGATGGAGAGCAGTAATACTAATGCTACTGCTTAAGGTTTGGGTTGTTTTGACTTCTCAAATGGTGATCTGATAGTGACTACTGTACCACACTGAAAAATGTATGTGTCTTCACCCATCAATTCCATTGTGCTAAATACCTTTAGGAAATAATAAGAGATACATACGGTTTGTTTTTCTCAGCACTTCTTAAAATAGCAAAGTATTTTAAGAATTGGATACTTATGCATTTTGAGAGGGTGCTTTATGAACTCTGAGCAAATCCCCTTCCTAGGACCCCTCTACATTATGCCTGTGCCTACGGCCAGCCAGAAGTGGTGACACTTCTAATAAAGATGAACTGCAGCCTTCAGCTCTGTGACAGTGACGGCAACACACAGCTGATGAAGGTAGATGTAGCCTGGGATTTCTGCAGGGAATGAATTTATTTGAAATGCTTAGAATAATAATGATTTAATAATTGAAAACTGTGGAATGCCTGCCTTTATTCCTGAAATTTACAATCTATTTCTTGGTACCAAACCAACAGGCTATAGAACACAAGCAAGAGGAGTGTGCAACAATTCTTTTAGAAAATGGTGTTGATCCAAACATTCAGAACAAAAATGGCGCAACTCCTCTCCACTGGGCCGTCTTTTGTAGGAGCACTTCAATGGCGGAAAAACTGCTTTCATTTAATGCAAATATTGATGCCCAGAGCAAGGTATCATCAACCACCTTTATTTCTAAAATATTTGAAATACATTTGTTTAAACAGTGACTTACATCAGTGCATGTTGACTATAAGCAGGATTTTCTTGATTAGAACCATAGCAAATGTTGAAACTTTTTTTTTTTATAGCTCATGGATATATTTAGTGTGCTTCTATCAATTGAGTCAGTGTTTAAAATTTGTGAAACTCATGCATAAATCTAGATTTCAAGCTTCTTCTGAAGACCCAAATGAAGTCACCCTTGAGCCCACGTTAGTGTGCATTGTGCTCTGCAAAAAGTGTCCTCTTCATCAGAGGCGTGTGTGTTCTCCAGTTTGCTGTTAGCAAGCTGCAGCATTCACTCAGATCTATGATGGAGATTTATAATACATTTTGATTTAAGATTTCAAAGATGGGGCTGGGGTTGTGGCTCAAGTGGTAGCGCGCTCGCCTGGCACGCGTGCGGCCCGGGTTCGATCCTCAGCACCACATACAAAAACAAAGATGTTGTGTCTGCCGATAACTAAAAAATAAATATTAAAATTCTCTCTCTCTCTCTCTCCCCCCTCTCACTCTCTTTAAAAAAAAAAAAAAGATTTCAAAGAGGCATGATAGTTTCTATTATCTTACAAAAGAATATGGCCTATATAATATATTAATCTCTGAAATAGGATTGAATTTTAGAATTTAGAAATTGGCATTTTTAAAACCTTTTCCTTATGTATACTATAAAAGCCATATTCCCCTTAGAATTTCCATAAACCTGATTAAGTTTGTTATTGTTAGAGGTGGATAGGTTTTGCAGATTGCAAGCAGAATTATATCTTTCTCTTCAGCCTTGTTCTGTAAAAATGCAAGTAAGCGATTTAGTGTTTTCCTTGATGCCCCAAATAATCCATGTAAATCAGTATAATACTTTTGTTGGTATACAAAGTTTCTGAATTATATTTTGCCTAAAATTATCAATAACTTTTCACCACAATTAAAATGAAACCAGAATGAAAAAGAATTTCATTATCATCATAAGTGAAAATACATTTTGTATTCAGGTTCCTAACATATAAGATAATTATCTTTCATCATATAATAGGAGATAACCCAGGAACCAATTGGGAATAATAACCCAGGAACCAATTGGCAATCAAAGTTCATTTGAAGCCTCTTTCTTTTAATTCAGAGCCCATTTTCTTAGTGACCCATGTGGAGCAGGAGTGCTGACATTGGTGTCTGGGATCCTGACACCAAATAGAAGAGAATCCAGAGGGTTTGTGTAGCATGGAGGCATCTCCCATGTTTTTGGAAAGCTCTCAGAACTGCCTCTCCCTGATGCTCTGATTCTCCAAATGCAAATGTCCATTATGAAAAAGAATTTTCAAGTAGGTATTAGCAATAGTAAATAGATTTCTTTAATACTGGACACAATTTGAATCAAGGGATATTTCTGATCACATTTGGTATTTCTGGGAATGTAGATACTCTTTGGAGTATAGATTGATAAACTCTGCTCTAGAGAGAGAGATTTAGCTCATTGAGTCAATAAAATACTTAAATCCTTTACTACTACATTTTTGGGGTTGGGTCTATTGAGATAAAAGATACAGTCCCTGTCCTCAAGAAGCTCTTGGTTTAGATGGGGTGGGGATCATATAGCTCCAAGATACCACGATAAAGGCTGCAACAGAGGCAAAGACTCCTGGAGGCAGTAGACGTTTTCTGCAAGTTTGGGAGATGACAGAGTTCATGGGGCCATTGTAGGCAGAGAAGGGCATCTCAAGGTGAAGGAGCAGCACAGGTGGAAACACACTGGGGTGAGAACAAAGAGGCTACTCTTAATTTACTTCATGTGTGTCTGTGTTCATATGGTGCTTTTATAAGACTTGCAGTTCAGTTGAAAAATAAGCAATTTTTCTTATACTGTTTTCCAGTATGGAGACACACCACTTTTACTTGCTCTACAGTACAACAAACTGCAAATGGCAGAATTTTTAATCCAGAAGAAAGCAAATATACATATAGTTGACAAGGAAGGAAGGTAAAGTAGTTTGTTGTTTTTTTTAAAAAAAACTTCAATGGTGTAGTAACAATTACTCAAGGCAAAAATGTTAAATAAATAGTAAGGGGAGAGGCTGGGGTTGTGGCTCAGTAATAGAGCACTTGCCTAGTACATGTTAGGCACTGGGTTCGATTCTTAGCACTACAAAAATTAAAAAAATAGCAAGGGGAATATTAACATGATTATTGAGATAATACACCCAACTTTTAGGTAGAAATGCAATTATTCAGACTGAGCAATACAAATAAGAGTATGTCATGTGATTCATGCCCTTATAATTATTGGCTGATGTTTGTTATCTGATTTTGTTGGTCACATGATCTAATGTTAGTTAATGGAATTTCATAGTAGTTTTATAATGTATGGACTTTTAGTTTGATTTTTGATTCATTATTGAACTTCTTAACCTTTATGTTGTATTTAACTTCTTCTTCTTATATAATTTTCCTTTAAAAATGCTACATGGAGCAAAAGTTGGCATTTTGTCATTTGACTCTAGGTTTTAAATTCCTTTCTTTGCTGAGTATTGATGTTAGGTTATTCCTAAGTGAGCACTGGTTGCAGTTGCCAGATGTTGCTTATTTCCTAATGTATTTTGATGATTTTATTTTAATTGGCATGGGAAGGGGGAGGAAAGATAGCTTTAATGGGATAAATGTTTCCTTTAATAAAGATAGGACTGGGGGGTGACAGATACAGAGATTGGCTTAAGATTCAAAGACACCTGGGTTGCATTCCAAGCTTTCATAGTTGCAAAGTGAGTCACCTTGGAAACAATACTTACGACTAAATATGTTTGCTGATATGAAAAAGAGGATAATAGCTGCTTGAAGATTACACACATAGCTGGAGTTCAGCACCTAGCAAACGCTTATCAGTGTCCTTAACTGAAGCAACAGTGATCAGCACCAGCATTATTATTGTTTTAAGCCTGCAGATAACTTTTACTTGTTTGACCTTTAGCTGACTGTGAGTTACAGTATATTACATCAGACTAAAAAAGAAATGGAACATTCTTCATTGAAATCTTTACCCACTATGGATAAATGATCTCATTGTGGTTCTCATCCATCAGAGGGTTTTGTTAATTTTCCCCCTTTGGACAAGAGGTTTCTTTTTTCCTTTTAGACTTAGAGATGATTTGCAAAGATGGACACTTGATCTCCCAAGATGTTTATGTATGTTAGTATATGTAAAGCAAGCTATTTAAATGGTAAAATATATCAAATTAACTCTTTAAATAGCTTTACTAAAATGCCTGAGTTATCTCTCCATTATTTTAGAACAACTCTCATGTTTGCTGTGAAACATAAAGCAAAAAATATAGTCAAGCTGCTTCTTGAAGGTGGTATTAATGTCTCTGCTGAAGATAAGTCTAGACAGACTGCATTATCTTACGCTATTGCTAGTGGTCAAAATGCGTAAGTATTTACATTAAATACTAATCAACATTAAATGGAGTTCAAAATAATCAAAACTATTGCATCTCACTCATGAGGTGAGCTTTTGTAGTTCTGGTATGTGTGGAATAGTAGTGAGTTAGTCAACTACATCGGCTAGAAACCCTCCAAGTCTAGACTAGTTAGAAGTAGAGTGCAGGATTCACCTCGAGTTTCTTTCTTTTCTTTCTCTTTTGGTGGTGCTGGGGATTGAATCCAGGGCCTCATGCATGCTAATTAAGTGCCCTACCACTGAGATACACCACTAACCCATATCTTGGGAATTTTTAAACTTTTGTCCTTAGGATTCCCAGCGTTATCCATTTCATTCCAAGAAGAACCCCTATCCATGGAGTGCAAATACTGTCATATATTTGATTTTTCTAATTAGCTATCTGGGTCTTGAAATGTCTAGAAAATCTCCTTATTTTACCCTAGGAGCTAGCTTTCCCACCACCCTTCATGAATTTCCCAAGGACCCAAGGAGTTCCTTAAGACTAAGGAAGATAATCCTCTTTCCCCAGTCAGGTGGAGGGGGAAAGGGACTTTTCAATGATTCTTTTGTTTCTGTTGATTCTGTGGCTGCAGGGTTACTATTAGAACAGGTCCTACAGCCTGTTAATGATTGAATTTCACTACTAGATTGTCCTGACTAATCCCAATCCCTGAATCTTTGTGGTAATACACACTTAGACTTAAAAGTTACAACACGTAACCAGTTCCCACATACACATGCTTTTATGCTCAGCCCTTGCTCCTGAGGCAACAGTGCAGTACTTTGGCAGCTGGGTCTCCTAGCTTTAGCCACACACACAGTGAGCATGCTGCTGCTGGTCACTACCCCACCCCCCAAAAAAAGAAAAGAAAAAAAAACCCCACAAACCTTATGTAGAAATTCCCAATCAAAACCTTATTCAGAATTCCCACTTCAGCCTCTAGACCTTAATGTTGAGTTTGTCTTTGAGGTCTTTTCTGTCAGTAAATATTAATGGGAATCATTCAAAACTATCAGACAGCTTCAAATAATGGCACAGGGAGAGATCATATTTCCTATCGGTTTTGCTAGCATGCAAAACCCCCATGCTATCCTGTGAGGTGCCCTTTATTGGGTTGGTGCCAACTGTTGATTTGTACCTCTAGTGATTTTTTTTCCCATAGTAATGGAAATTTCCCAAGCAACTTGCATCACTGCCTGAAGATCTCAGAATTTATCAAGTTCTGCCTTACAAGGAAGCCATTAAGCAGGGTTGTTGAAAACTAGATCTAAGTGCTAAACCCCATCATGACTCATCTGTATCCATGTATAAAAGAGGGTTTTGTCTTCCAAGTTGGTCAACACAGAAATAAAGCATCACCCTAACACAGGTCTGCTGATTCTTTTTGATTAGGTAGTGAAGAAATAGTAGTAGACCAAGCCAAGCCTTGGCATTGATTAATTTCCTGCCATTGGTGTGATTGATTAGTTTCTTAGTAGGGGATAGTTATATAATTTAAGAGGTAAGATATTTATAAATAAGTTGAGTTATAAATTATTCAATACCTGATTTGCCCAGAGTTTTAAAACACAAAAGAAGAGCACAGCCAATAATCTAAATTAGAACTCAATAGCATTTTTCAGTAACTGTAACATTTGAATGTTAGAACCTGTGAAAAAGCACTTAAATGTATTTTATTTGGGATTCCAAAATATTCCAGTATCAAAGAAGACATTGATCCATATTTCTCTTACTATGTTTAAATATTACTTCATTAAATCTTTATAACTGCTTTGGCCCTTCTCATTTTATAACAACCTGGTTAACTAAACCAAGCACAATCCTTATTTTTTAGAAGGGGACTTTGAGTCTAAGACAGAGGACCTGAGTGAGAATAAGGAGCCACTGATCACAGAGAAGAGGACATCTTCTGAGTTCAGGACATTTTCCTTTATGTCAAGCTATTCTAGTTAATGGACTGAGCTCTATCACCTGAAGTCATGATCATTTCATCTTACTGTTTTTTTCTTTAATTACAAGCTTATGGATGTGGTGGCATTTGCCTTTATCCCAGTTACGTGGGAATCTGAGGCAGAGGAGGATCCCTTGAGCCCAGGAGTTCAAGACCAGCCTAGGCATCACGGTGAAACCCCATCTCAAAAACAAAACAAAATACAAATTATTGTCAGGTTAATGAAATGTCTATAGGGCTGACAAATTTCAAGTGCATGGGATAAAATTCTGATATATGGTCTGATGTTAGGTCTAAAAGACTATTAAGAATTGAAAGAATTGAATATATTTACTTAATGTTTTTATATAAGTATTAAAATATTTATATTTTTATTTTTTTCATACATAGCAATAAAAAACTAATTCTTCAATATATGAAAGAAGAATCTAAAATGTTCTTTAATAGCTTGCCAGGTAAGATTTCTGAAAGTGAGTTACTCTTGATGTTGCTTCCCTGTATAAAAAAAAAAAAAAAAAAAAAGTAAGAGAAAGCTTTGATCACACAGGAGCAGAGAAAAAAAAAATCAATGTGTGAATTGCATTAACATTTTTTCTCTCTCTTAATAGCTTTAAATCCAGAATTATTTAATCAATTAATTATAGGAAACTTATAATACAAAATGATACTGTCTGAAAACATCTTACATGAATTTAATTTTGGCCACTGAAACCTTACATATATTTGCATATACAAGAAAAAGATTTTTAAATTAGTATATTGTGAAATTATAGTGTCATTATAGCAAATTAAACTTGTTATATAAATAGATAAATTCTTCTTTTTACTATAAATGTTGACTCCTGTTGCTTGCACAAATTAGTAGATTTTGTTGCAACAAAATACATACAAATATCGTACTTGAATCCCACCCACCCCCCACTTCCATTTCTTTCCTCCCTTCACCTCCTCTCACCCACTTCCTTAATAATCCCCTTTCATTTTCAGTTCATTATTTTTGCCCAGATTCCACATACGAAGGAGAATATGTGGATTTCTGTTTCTCACTTACTCTGCTTGACATGATGACCACCCTTTCCATCCATTTTCCAGATTTTGTTGTTTCTTTTTCTTTTTTTATTTGAGGCTTGAAATATACCATTTTATGCTGCTCTGATCTTGAAAGTTTCTGTTGCGAAATCTTCTGTTCTTCTGATGAGTTGATGTTGTAATTGCTTTGGCCCTTCTCACAGCTTTCTATGTACTTCTGGCAATTTTACATGATTATGATGTGGAGAGGTTCTTTTCTAGTCATGTCCATTTAGTCATGTCCATTTGTCCATTTTATTTTTATTTATTTTATTTATCTGAATGTGATGTTTCACCTTGTCTTCCAGATCCGCTACTTTTTCTTCCACTTGATCTAGTCTATGGGTGCGACTTCAGATGGATGTATTTATTTATTTATTTATTTATTTTAGTTATTGAGCTCTTTATTTAGATTTTCATCGGATTTATTTTCAGAATTTCTATTTCTTTGAATGATTGCTTTTTCATATCTTACATTGTTTCCCTTAATTTGCTCAGCTATTTTTTTTTTGTATGCTCTTTGAATTCATGAATCATTTTTAACATTCTTTTGAATTCTTTTTTCTGGATATCATGTACTGCATTGGTTTTGGAATCTGTGACTATAGAGGGTTAAGAATTTTTGGAGAAGTCATGCTACCTTGTTTTTTCATCTTTATTGTATTTCTATGTTAAGATTTGTGCAGCTGTGGCAAGGTGTATCTCCTCCACATTTATGTGAGGGCCTTCTTAGAGTAGCCTTCTCTTGGTGTTGTGTCCTGGACTATTGGTTTCTTGTGTGGTGTTGAAATTATTTCCAAATGGAGTTTGTAGTGTAATTTCCCTATGTCTTTTGTGGTTGTGGTACATGAGTTTTGACAGTGTGTGCTGTAGAGAGACAGCAACATTCTTTGTAGACCTTGGAAGAGTGGAGTCACTTTGGTGGCAAGAGTACTGTGAACAGTAGAGTACAGGATGGGAGGGCACACAGTTTACATCTAAAAAAGCTCAGTGTCTGTAGAGATTTGCCACTTGAGGAGGACTGAGAAAACTGACATCATGGTATATGACACAGCATTACTAGATCATCCTGCTCTATTGGGACCAGATAGACTCTTTACAGTGGAAGTAAACAGTCCAAAGAAGTTCTACTTCATCTACTTGTCATCACAGTATTTTACAACCACCTTGCCATGGGAAATAAGACTGGAAACTGAATAGTTTGTATGAATTAAAATGATGATCTTCCTTTGAGGGAAGATGATGAAACCAGTCTCTATTATTATAATCAGACTGGTGTTCTTTTATAAGTTGTTTGATGATGATGATTTCAGTGCTGGGACTGAAATCATCAATGTACTAATTTAAAAATCTTTTTCAGGGCTCATGCAAGGTCTGCAAGCACATTACCCCTAAGCTTCATCCCTGTCCCAACTTCATCAGCAGATCCTTGTGAGGAATGTCACAAGAGTCACATTGTTTGCTTGTTGTGTTTTGTTTCATACTTTACATAAAGTGGAATGGATGTTTTCCCCTCCGCTAGGGAGAGCCAATGGTTAGCACATTCTGAAAACTTGAGAGAGCTAAAGTTTTATGGAAATATTTTCTCATATTAGCTATTGCTACTTGGAAATTCACTGCTACCTCCCCGGGGCTTCTGTTGAAGTTTCTTTATGACAGTTGTGGATCAGAGGGTAGGAACTCTCAAGGATGTCATCTTGTTAGTGGTTCTTTCTAAGGAAAGTAAAGCCTTGTTAGTACCACACATAAGATAGAGAAATGAGCTGGAATGAAGAAATTAGCATCTTCACTACAACAGGATTAGTGAGGGGAAGCACACTGATTTCAACTGAGCTCTTCTCAACTTTACAGTGAAATCTTTGGGAGCACCCCAGTCCATGCTTTGTCCTGTATTCTTTGATTATGGTCATGGGACACAACTGTTGACTTTTAGGTATCAAATTTTGATAAATCCCATTCTTCTTCCTTGCATTTGAGAAATACAATTAAGGGGACATTAGGAGTTCTTAATGCATCAATTGCCTATTAGCAGTATAATTCATATTCATTCTAGAATATTCTCCAAGTATGGTCCCAAAGGAGTACTTTATAACAAAGAGTTCTATGTTTTTGATATTTTATGTTTTTCTATTGCTGATTAAAGATGTATTTTACTGTTTTCTTTAATAGTGGGGGAGAGTTCTAAAGATGGCCCATTAACCAGGTAGGATTTTATAGGTATTTAAATTTATATGTTAACTAACTAGAGAATGGAGAGAAAAGGAACTAATATCTGTTGAGTGTTCTAGTCTGGGATAGAGCCCACATTAGGTGCTCAACCTTTGTTTCCTGTAGTCATCACAATGGCTCTGGAAGTGTCTGTGCTGTTATAACCTGTTATTTGCTACTTAAGCAACTGTCATCCAGAGAGATTGACAACATGGCCCATGATCCTCTAATTAATACATAACTGGGTTGTGATTAGACTGCCAGCCTACCTGGGTGACAACTCCATCCCCTAGTGCTGCTGCCTGGGTTGATAAGGACCCATGCAACACAGGATCAAGCTGCACATCCGTATGCGACCAATTCAGAAAGTCCAAGACAGTTGTGTTAATTCTGATTCAAACTTTACCTGAGGAGCCTGGTTACAGTCCAAGAATTTGTCCTGATATTTTTGACAGTTGTACTGGTTACGAGCACCGTTTTTATTTATCAAAGTGTTTTAGGGAAAATCTCATGTAGCTGTGGTCATAAGACCATGAGTTTTTTTTTATAAGCAAGATCAGGTAAATCCTGGAAAGGAATTATTTTACTGAGAGTGAAGAATACGTATGTGTAAACTGTGTTTCACTAATTATTAATTTAGAGGATATTTTAACTGACTTCTTTCCTTATTTCCCAGTTTGGTTTTACCTTCAGGCTACTGCCCCTGGCTAGTTCTATGAAGACTTTTCTTCTTTTACCGTCTTTTTTTTTTCTTTTTCTTGGACTATAATCTTCTCTTGACTTTTCTTTGTTTTACTTTCTGTTCTGCTATCTTGATGTCTTTATTTTTTTCTTTAATTCTGTCAATTAAGTATTCTTTTTTTTTTCTAATGATAGAATCAAAAGTACAGAGAATTTCAGAATTTTAAGGAATTTTAGCAACTCGTCAAAATGCCCTCTAGTACTTCAAAATGTGTTTAACATGCTGGCCAAGTGGTTATGATGGAAAACCTGATATTTAATAATATTGAAGTGACTTTTCTGGTTATAGAAAGTGGCAGCAGTGAGATTTGAACTCGGGTTCCTTAATTCTAAGCCCAGTATGTTTCCTTGTTCACTCTCTGTGTGTGTTGATAATAGGGTGGGGGAGTGAGTCTGGGACACCCCTGAGGAGGATAAGGATGGAATCAGTGAACCAGTCGTGGAAGCTCAGGAGGGAACTAAGAGGGGAAGGGCAGGGTCCAGAGGAGGAATGCAGGCTTCAGAAAAGAGCAGAATATTGGGGTTTGTGATCAATTTGATAGAAACAAAACAGGAATGAAGGACATGGGGAATTGTGAGCCATCTAGAAAGGCATATTAAAATAGGGGATTGAGGGGACTCCTGAACAGGTCGTGGTTTTCTTGTTTGTTTAATTAGAGGAGTTGACAAACTTTAGGGCTTCTGTGGAAAGATGTTAAAATGCTTTGAGCCATTGGGAAGAGTCTCAGAGAATTGTGAGTGGCTTAGGGACCCTGGAGTTCCAGGGGACAAAAATTTGCTGAACTACATGGATCTATGGCTAAGAGCAGGTGTCCATTCACCTCCACAATTGACCCACTCACTGTCCTTCCTGCGTACCTGCAGGTTAGGACATGGGAATGACTGGTTGGTGAGGCCATCACAGAGCTTCAGTTGGGCAGCTAGTAACATGCTTATGTTGAGGCCAGTGAGGGAGAATCCATTTAGCTTATTTTCCAGGGGCAGAAAAAGAGAGCTCCAAGTCTTGGTAACTTTGAGCCCAACCTTGTGTCAGGAATCTGCATCTTCATAGGATGCAAATGTAAAGGTTGGAGAATGCCTTTGAGTCCTGCAGCTGACGGACCAGGGAGTGGACGTCCACAGAAGAAGGCTGTTGATAGTGTACTTAGGGAAACAGAGGCACACCTACCAGGGCTCTGTAGTTTTTCTGGCAATCTTGCCCCTCAGTGTCCTAGAGCCTGTGGAGGTTTTGAAGTGCTTGCTGGTTTATGTGAACCTGAGTAAGGCAGGACCTACACAGGAAAGATAGGAGGATTTTATAACTGAGTGCTCCAGTTTGTCTGACAGAAGCGTTCCCCATAACAACATTTGTATTCATTCTTTAACATTTGTCCATTCAACTTCCAGACATCTAAAAGGTCTCAGGGACTCCCTGTGGTGTACCATTTTCAAGCTACCCAACTTAGTCCTGGTTCCAGGGTTGACCAAGATAAGGGGACAAAGTGTCTTTCTACCTTGTCTTGGGTTATCAGAGGTTTGTTTCAGTTTAGGTAACAAAAATTATCTGGGCTGGGGTTATGGCTCAGTGGTGGAGCACTTGCCTAGCATATGTGAGGCACTGGGTTCGATTCTCATTCCCACATAAATATAAATAAATAAAATAAAGGTGTCTGTCTACAACTAAAAAAAAATGTTTAAAGAAATTATGTCGATCATTCACTGGATGTTCACTTCAGGCTTCAAGATAGGCAATTTGTAAGGATAACTTATTCTCAGGTTCTGCCAATATATTGGCTGTCACTCTTTGAAATGGAGCTAAGAGAGTCTTCATTGACTATTTCATAGATTGGGAAAGGTGGATGCAGAAGGAGGCAAATAAGAGCTTTTAAAAACATAGATCATATTTTAATTAAATAGGTCAAGAAACATCATTTAATATGACTATATCCAAACTTGAACTGGAATCTGTTTAAAAAAAAACTGGACTCATTCATTTTTGTTATATATTTTTGCTTTAAAGGTTTCCCAGTGAACCAGATTCTGACGATTCTGATGATTCCTGTTCTCTATTAGAGGAGGGCAACTGTCCAACTGATACCAAGGTAAAGTGCTCTTTGGTGAAACTTTCTGGTTCTGAGTTTTGGTTTGTGAGGTATTAACTCTTAAAATTAGTAATGGTCTCCCTGTCATTTTATATAGAAAATTGCTCAGAAGAAACCATTTCATAGAATTATGTTGGAATTTTTTTTAAAAAAAAGTTTGAAAGTATCAAAGATCTGTCAAGTACTTTAGAGTAGTTGGGGCTGTAAGAAAGAATGGGCTGGAAAATAAGTAGGGAAAGAAAAGTACATTAGGAACAGCTTTCCACCTGCCAAGGAAATATGAATCCTCTTGGTCAGGGATGATTTGGGTCAGTTTACATTACTGTGACTTTCTCAAATCATATTTATGTGACTTATAATGCTTGCACCTAAATTAATCTTTAATGAATTAAATTAATTTTTATGGAATCATGGAATCTCCCTGGCGCCTTCAGTTTTGAAATCCATAAAGCACATTGCATGTAGTTTTTTTTTTTCTTTTGGACACTTTATATTTTAGTATCATATCATTTTTTAGGAGTGCTTTCTCTCAAATTCTATTTTTGCTTCAGTATTTATATTGTATTAGTATTAGAAATTGTGGAAATGTAGAAATTTAGAATCTGTTTCTTCATGTTTGAATTATAAAGGGATTGTCTGAGTCTTTCCACAGAGTGTATTTAAAACTCTTCATCTAATTGAAGAATAAATGTTTTGTGCAAAATAATAGCCCTCTCTAGAAGCAGAGACTTCCAAAAATTGTGTGGTGACACTTTAATTTCAGAATTATTTTTTGCATTGTCATGTTTTAAAATATCCAAGTCATTATGTCACACTCTGAGATTTCAAATTTTAGAAGATTTTTAACTTAGTTATTTAAATATTTACTTTACAGCTCTTCTATTGCTATGAGGTATTGGAGGTTAAGAAACATATCTGAAGTAACTAGAATATGGATTATTTGATTATAATGATTAAAAATTCCAATTTACTTTTCATTTTCCCTATTTTAATAAAAGAGAAAATCCAGCACAATTTTATGTCTTGTTCTCTCATATACTGGATCTCAGTGTTGAAAACACAATTTGTCCTTCTTTTTTTTTAAATTAATTTATTGTTTATTCTAATTTGTTATTTATGACAGTAGAATGCATTATAATACATATTACACATATAGAGCACAATTTTTCATATCTCTGTTTGTATACAAAGTATATTCACACCATTCATGTCTTCATACATGTACTTAGGGTAATGATATCCATCTCATTTCATGATCTTTTCTATCCCCATCCCCCACCCTTCCCCTCCCATCCCTTTACCATATCTAGAGTTTACCTCCCATGCTCCCCCTCCCAACCCCACTATTAACCAGCCTCCTTATCTCAGAGAAAACATTCAGCATTTGTTTTTTGGGGATTGAATAACTTCACTTAGCATTATCTTCTCCAACTCCATCTATTTACCTGCAAATGCCATGATTTTATTCTCTTTTTTGCTGAGTAATATTCCACTGTGTATTTGTACCACAGTTTCTTTTTTCCATTCATCTACTGAAGGGCATCTAGGTTGGTTCCACAGTTTAGCTATTGTGAATTGTGCTGCTATAAACGTTGATGTGACTGTGTCCCCGTAGTATATTGATTTTAAGTCCTTTGGGTATAGACCGAGGAGTGGGATAGCAGGGTCAAATGGTGGTTCTATTCCCGGTTTTCCAAGGAATCTCCATACTGCTTTTTAGATTGGTTGCACCAATTTGCAGTCCCACCAGCAATGTATGAGTGTGCCTTTTCCTCCATATCCTCGCCAAGACCTATTGTCGTTTGTTTTCTTAATAGCTGCCATTCTGACTGGAGTGAGATGAAATCATAGAGTAGTTTTGATTTGCATTTCTCTAATTGCTAGAGATGTTGAATATTTTTTCGTGTATTTGTTGATTGATTGTATATCCTCTTCTGAGAAGTGTCTGTTCAGTTCCTTGGCCCATTAATTTATTGGGTTATTTGTTTTATTAGTGTTAAGGTTTTTGAGGGCTTTATATATCCTAGAGATTAGTGCTCTCTCTGATGTGCTTGTGGGAAAGATTTGCTCCCATTTTGTAGGCTCTCTATTCATTTCACTGATTGTTTCTTTTGCTGAGAAGAAGCTTTTTTAGTTTGAATCCATTTATTGATTCTTGGTTTTAATTCTTGCGCTATAGGAGTCTTGTTAAGGAAGTTGGGGCCTAATCCGACATGATGGAGATTAGGGCCTACTTTTTCTTCCATTAGGCTCAAGGTCTCTGGCTTAATTCCTAGATCCTTGATACACTTTGAGTTGAGTTTTGTGCATGGTGAGAGATAGAGGTTTAATTTCATTTTGTTACATGTGGATTTTTAGTTTTCCCAACACCATTTGTTGAAGAAGTTATCTTTTCTCCAATATATGTTTTTGGTGCCTTTGTCTAATATGAGGTAACTGTAATTATGTGGGTTTGTCTCTGTGTCCTCTATTCTGCACCATTGGTCTACAGGTCTATTTTGGTGCCAATATCATGCTGTTTTTGTTACTTTTGCTCTCTATTATAGTTTAGGGTTTGGAATAGTGATGCCACCAGCTTCACTCTTCTTGCTAAGAATTGCTTTGGCTATTCTGGATCTCTTATTTTTCCAGATGAATTTCATGATTGTTTTTTCTATTTCTATAAGGAATGTCATTGGGATTGCATTGAATCTGTATAGTGCTTTTAGTAATATAGTCATTTTGATAATATTAATTCTGCCTATCCAAGAACAAGGTAGATCTTTCCATCTTCTAAGTTCTTCTTTAATTTCTTTCTTTAGCATTCTGTAGTTTTCATTGTAGAGGTCTTTCACCTCTTTCATTAAGTTGATTCCCAAGTTTTTTTTTTGAGGCTATTGAAAATGGGGTAGTTTTCCTAGTTTTTCTTTCTGAGGATTTGTCACTGATATACAGAAATGCCTTTGATTTGTGGGTGTTGATTTTATATCCTGCTACTTTGCTGAATTCATTTACTAGTTCTAGAAGATTTCTGGTGGAATTTTTTTGGGTCTTCTAGGTATAGAATCATATCGTCAGCAAACAGTGATAATTTGAGTTCTTCTTTTCCTATTCGTATCCCTTTAATTTCTTTCATCTGCCTTATTGCTCTGGCTAGAGTTTTAAGAACTATGTTAAATAGAAGTGGTGAAAGAGGATATCCCTTTCTTATTCCAGTTTTTGGAGGGAATTCCTTCCATTTTTCTTCATTTAGAAAGATGTTGGCCTGGGGCTTTGCATAGATAGCCTTTATGATGTTGAGATATGTTCCTGAATCTCTAGTTTTTCTAGTGTTTTGAACATGAAGGGATGCTGTATTTTGTCAAATGCTTTCTCTGTATCTATTGAGATGATCATATGATTCTTGTTTTTAAGTCTATTAATATGATGAATTACATTTATTGATTTCTGTATGTTGAACTAACCCTGCATCCCTGGGATGAACCCTACTTGATGGTGGTGCAATATCTTTTTGATTATGTTTTTGTATTTGATTTTCCAGAATTTTGTTGAGAATTTTTGCATCTATACTCACTTAGAGATATTGGTCTGAAATTTTCTTTCTTTGATGTGTCTTTGTCTGGTTTTAAATCACAGTGATATTGGCCTCATAGAATGTGTTTGGAAGTGTTTCCTCTTTTTCTATTATGAAATAGTTTGAGGAATATTGGTATTAGTTCTTCTTTAAAGGTCTTGTAGAACTCAGCTGTGTATCCATCAGGTCCTGGGCTTTTCTTGGTGGGTAGGCTTCTGATGGCATCCTCTATTTCCTTGCTTGAAATTGATCTGTTGAAATTGTGTATATCATCCTGGTTTAGTTTGGGCATATCACATGCCTCTAGAAATTTGTTGATGCCTTCGATATTTTCTATTTTATTGGAGTACAAATTTTCCAAATAATTTCTAATTATCTTCTGTATTTCTGTAGTGTCCATCGTGATGTTTCCTTTTTCATCATGGATGTTAGTGATTTGAGTTTTCTGTCTCCTACTCTTCATCATGGCTAATGGTTTATCAATTTTATTTATTTTTTCAAAGAACCAACTTTTTATTTTATCAATTTTTCAATTGTTCTGTTTCAATTTCATTGATTTCAGCTCTGATTTTAATTATTTCCTGTCTTCTACTGCTTTTGGGGTTGATTTGTTCTTCTTTTTCTAGGGCTTTGAAATGTAATATTAGGTCATTTATTTGTTGACTTTTTCTTCTTTGAAGGAATGAACTCCATGCTATGAACTTTCCTCTTAGACCTGCCTTCATAGTGTCCCAGAGATTTCAATATGTTATATCAGTGTTCTCATTTACCTCTAAGAATAATTTAATATCCTCCTTGATATCTTTTGATATAAATGAACCCATTGTTCATTCAGTGCATATCATTTAGTCTCCAGGTGTTGGGGTAGCTTCCATTTTTTATTTTATAATTGATTTCTAGTTACATTCCATTGTGGTCTGATAGAATGCAGGGTAGTATCTCTACTTTTTTGTATTTAGTAAAAGTTGCTTTGTGGCATAATTTATGGTCTGTTTTAGAGAAGGGTCCACATGCTGCTGAGAAGAAAGTGTATTTGCTCATTGATGGATAATATACTCTATATTATGTCTGTTAAGTCTAAGTAATTGCTTGCATTATTGAGATCTATAGTTTCTTTGTTTAGCTTTTGTTTTGAAGATCTATCCAGGGGTGAAAGAAGTGTGTTAAAAGTCACCCAGAATTATTGTGTTGAGGTCTATTTGACTCTTGAACTTGAGAAGAGTTTGATTGATGAACATAGATGCTCCATTGTTTGGGGCATATATATTTATAACTGTTATGTCTTGTTGATGTATGGGTTCCCTTAAGCAGTATGAAATGTCCATCTTTATCCTTTTTGATTAACTTTGGCTTGAAGTCTACTTTATTTGATATAAGGATGGAAAACCTTGCTTGTTTATGCATACCATGTGAATGATATATTTTATCCCAACCTTTCATCTCAGTCTGTGTATGTCTTTTCCTATGAGATGAGTCTTTTGAAGGCAGCATATTGTTGGGTCTTTTTTTTTTTAAAGTCTAATCTATCAGCCTATGTCTTTTGATTGGTGAGTTTAGGTCATTAACATTCAGGGTTATTATTGAGACATGATTTGTATTTCCGGTCATTTTTGTGTATTTTTAGCATTTAATTTGACTTTGTTTCTCCCTTGGTTAGCTTTTCCTTTATTGTAGTTCTTCCTTTTGCAGATTTTTATTGTTGTTTTTCATTTCCTTGTTGTGGAATATTTTGCCAAGAATGTCCTATAGTGCAGGCTTTCTTGCTATAAATTCTTTTAGCTTTTATTTATCATGGAAGGTTTTTATTTTGTCATCAAAACTGAAGCTTAATTTTGCTGGATATAAGGTTGTTGCTTGGCATCCATTATATTTTAGAGCTTGATATATGTTGTTCCAGGATCTCCTGGCTTTGAGGATCTGGGCTGAAAAATCTGCTGAGATCCGAATTCATTTTCCCTTAAAGGTAATCTGATTTTTCTCTCTTGCGGCCTTTAAAATTGTATCCTTAGTCTGTATGACAGGCATTTTCATTATAATGTGTCTTGGTGTAGATCTGTTGTAATTTTGTACATTTGGTGTCCTATAGGCCTCTTGTATTTGATTTTTCAATTCATTCTTCATGCCTAGGAAATTTTCTGATATTATTTCATTGAAGAGATTGTGTGTTCCTTTGGTTTGAATCTCTGATCCTTCCCCTATCCCAAAAAATCTTAAATTTGGTCTTTTGATGGTATCATAATTCTTGAATATTCTGTTCATCTTCAATGTGAGGTCAACTTTATTTTCAAGATTGTATATTTTGTCTTCATTGTCTGAGGTCCTGTCTTCCAAGTGATCTAGTCTGTTGGTGATGCTTTCTGTTGAGTTTTTTATTTGGCTTATTGTTGTTGTCGTTGTTGTTTTTCATTTCAAAGGTTTCTGTTTGGATTTTTTTTTTTCAGAATCTCTATCTCTTTCTTGGAGTAATCTCTTTCAACCTGTATTTGCTCTCTTATCTCTTTGTTGATGTGATTGATGGTCCCCTGTATTTGTTCTCTTATCTCTTGTTGGAGTGATCAGCTTTTGCCTGTATATGTTCACTTATGTCATTCTTTAATTCCCAGATCATTTTAGTAATGTATATTCTGAACTCATTCTCTGACATTTTGTCTACTGCGGATTCTATTGTAGTATCTTGGTTTGTTTGTGGCACTTTCCTCCCTTGTTTTTTCATGGTATCTATGTGTCTTCTTCTCTTTCAGTGTAGATCCGAGGTATTACAGCTTCTGCCCTTCTGACCTGTGTCCCTACAGGTTACCAATACCTCATCTTTAAGGGGGAGATCAATATTACAGCATTCAATGTACCCAGTGTGCAACCATAGATCAGTTAGCTTCTGTTTTTACATTTACAGTTTTGTTACTATAATCGGAAATGATGAGTTTGGTTGTCTTCTATCATATAGTCAATAGGTTTGCATAATGGTTTACAGTTTCTAATGGGGGAAGGGGAGGGTGGGGTGTTGGCTGAGATGCTTATGACATAGGATGTGAGAATATAGGGGTATTAGATTATATGAATAGTGAATGGGTAATTGTAAGAAGTTGGCTGTTAGTAGGAGAAACAAGAAAGAGGCAACCCCATGCAAGAGTCCCTGCTACCTCAGCAACAGGATAGCTGTTAGTACCCTTAGTAGAGCTACCTCTGGTGCAGCCAGGCCTGCAGGGACCTTGGTGACATCTTACCAGACCTTATTGGAGTGGGCGATATTCCAGTTTCATGGTGGGGGCAGCCTCAAGCCTATATGTACCCTGATGTTGGGCTGTGGAGCCATGCTTTGGTGAAGAAGGAACCCCAACACAGGATGTGGGCACAGAGTGGTCCTCTCTCTAGGTCACCAGGCTGCGGGGTGGTCACAATTCATCCTTCTAAACCAGTTTATATGGCACAATATGATGGATGCTCATCTCATTTTAATTTCTTTGTTTATCGTTAAATGAATATTTATTACTCAATGCAATAAGCTTGTAATTTCAGAATCTTGCTTGGTTTTCTCTCTTTTAAAAAATATTTTTTAAATATCAATGGACTTTTATTTTATTTCTTTATATGTGGTGCTGAGAATCGAACCCAGTCCCTCACACATGCTAGGCAAGCACTTTATCACTGAGCCATGACCCCAGCCCCACACTTTGGCTTTCATCATCTGACCATAGATTTAAGAATATGCTGTTGGTCTGTGTGCATCTGCACCTGGCCTCTACACTGCTTTAGGTCCTCAGCCAGTTTTGCTTATTGCACTTTTGCTGTCTGTTCATGAAATGCTGAGGGTCCCCTAGCTATCTATGATTGGACTTTATTTAGGGTTTGTTTTTTTTTTGAGGGTGGGTACTGGGGATTGAATTCACAGGCACTTGAGCCACATCCCCAGCCCTATTTGTATTTTATTAAAAACAGGGTTTCACTGAGTTACTTAGTGCCTCACTTTTGCTGAGGCTGGCTTTGAACTCAAGATCCTCCTGCCTTGGCTTTCTGAGCCACTGTGATTACAGGTGTGTACCACCGTGCCTGGCTTACAGCATTGTAGTTGAGTTCATTTTGACAAAACCATGCCTGCATGGAATTTGACTTGCTTCACTTCAGTCTCCAAACTCCTCCCTTTTCCTTCATTCCTTCCTCTTCCCATTCTCCTTCCTCTGTTGCTCTTCTTTACACTCCTTTATTTATTGATTTTTGATTGGTGCTTTCTACATATACATAAAGGTGACCTTCGCTTTGGGTGTCTTTGGCTACAGGATGAGTCTTCTGTAAACAGCATATAATTGGAATTTGTTTTTTGATCCATTTGCCTTTCCTATACATTTAATTACCTTTGTATTTAACTGGGGATGTGCGGCCATTTACATTCATTGTTATTATTTATGTGTTTATAGTATCCTCTCATTTCAGTTTGTTTGCTATATTTAATTCTGTTTAATTTTCATGTATTTGGATGTTCTTCTAGTGGTCTTCATTTATTTGGGAGGTTTTGGTCTTATTTTTAGGTACTTCTGTGTACACTACATCTTGGAGTATTCTTTGTAGTGCTGGTCTGATTGTCATTTTTTTTTTTTTTTGGTACTGGGGATCAAACCCAGGGGCACTCAACCACTGAGCCACATCCCCAGTTCTTTTTGGTATTTTATTTAGAGATAGGGTCTTGCTGAGTTGTTTAGGGCCTTGATAAATTGCTGAGGCTGACTTTGAACTCACAATCCTCCTTCCTCACCCTCCTGAGCCGCTGGGATTACAGGTGTACACCACTGTGCCTGGCTGTTATGAATTCTTTCATTTCCTCCTTGTCATGGAAAGTTTGTATTTCCTTATTGATTTTGCTGGATGTAACAATCTTGGCTGGCAGTTGTTTTCTTTTGGAGGTTGAGATATCTCCTTCTAGGCCCTCCTTGATTTTAATGTCTGAGCTGAGAATTCAGAAGTGAGCCTTATTGGCTTGCCTCTAAATGTGACCTGACATTTTTCTTCCACAGATTTTAGTATTCTTTCCTTATTTTCTATGATAGGCATTTTGATTATAATATGTCTTGGGTAGATTCTGTTCTAATCTTGTCTATGTGAGGTCCTATATGCCTACTGTATGTGGAAGTCTCTCATTTCTGGTTTGGGGAAAGTTTTCTGTTACTATCTTTTTTGAAAATGTTCTTAGTGCCTTTAGCCTGCATCTCCATCATTTGTCTTTAGCTACTTAACACACAAGATGGAAGCCACTTTCACTGTGATTCCAACCCGTCTTATTTCTAAGATACTCTTCAAACTCAGGTCTCAGATTTTTCATCTCAAGAGGTAATTTGCGCCAATGTAAATCATGAAAACCCATTCAAAATATCACATGTTGTAATTGCAAATTTCTTAAAATGTTAAGTTTTTTTCAACAGCATTCTAGACTACAGATGCCTACGATTTTTATCATGGGGTATTTGGATTAAGAAAATAGTCTAATGGATGTCAGTATTTGTACAATAATCAGTTGGAGGTAAGGGCAGTAGTGTTATTGTCCATATCATCTCTTTATGATATCTGTATCAGCTCCAATAGTCTTAACCCATGAGAAGATGTAGATTAGTAAGCGACAGAATTGGGGTTTGAGTCTACATCCAGTGACTGAGAACACTGTGCCCTTTCTGTTATATCATGTAATAATGGAGAATGTTATAATTATTTGATCGAATTCGATGCTTGTTATACCTAAAGTTTTTTTTTTTCCTTCCTAGAATGTCCCGAAAGAAAAAGAATTAGATGAAGCTTTTCAGCCAAACAGGAAAGAGGGTAAGTAAGCTATTTGACCACTGCCTATTCTTGTGCTGTACATTGATTTGAAATTACAGACATTTTCATGTACTCTTTGCTTTTTTTTATTGTCATAGAAGCAAAATATGGCTTTGATAAAAAAGAAAGAATCTTGTTTAACAACATTGCTTTGAACAGTCAAAAGGATGACATGGCAGAAACCACTCGGGTAAGATCCATCAGAATAAAGAGCTCTTAGGATCCTTTCATTTTATCACCTGACTCAAAGTTAAACACACTTACTTGCATTTTTTTTTTTGCATACCATATCTCATATGCACATAATAATAAACAACCCTAGAAAGAAATATAAGGTCACAGGTCACAATGGAAAGCAAGGGTAAAAGTCAAGGTTTATGTACAAGATTAACAGGTAGAATTTGGTGGGAGTAAACAATTCTTGGGTATGCTATTATGGAAGAAAAGAATTAGAAAGCAAGTCAAAAGAATAGCTAGATGAATATGAAGCTGAGAAAGGGAGATGCTTTGGAAACATTCATTTAAGAATGTTAAGATCAATTTCCAGATTGAATAAGAGAGTAAGGATAAAAGATGTTTAAAACAACAGAAATAGTGAAGCCAAGGAGAATAGGAACTCCATATTATTAAGTATGATAGAAGTTAGATTCTTCTGAAAGATTTAAAGTTGATTTTAATGAAGACTTGAAAGAAAACTGAATCCTCAGTTCTTTTAAATATAATGAGATTGTAGTTTGGCTGGGGATGGGAGTGGGAGTGGAATTCTGGATTCAGTGAGAGTCTTTCTGTGATACTTAAGCTCACAACAAAGGATGGGAAGGAGCCAGCCACAAGAGCTGCGAGGAGAGGGACATTCTGGACAGAGAACAGAGGGTCACGTCTGTTTATCATTTTGCTCTTAACATCCTGGAATGACCAGGAAATAGGATGTGGAACAACCATCATCATAATTGTTTTGTGATTATAATGTGTAGGAAAAAAAGCATGCAAATAAGTGTCTGGCACCTTTTAGATATTTTTATCTCATTTTGATTTAGCACTAATGAATTATAGACTTACAATGATTAACATGATCAATGCTTTTTATTGATGCACATTAATTACATAGGGCTTTCACTGTAGCATATTTGTACGTGAATATAACAGTTTGATCAACTGTTCATTCCTCAAAACCTACCCTACCCTTCTCATTTCTTCCTGCCTACTCTAAACTCCTTTCTCTATATTAATGGTCTTTCTTCTACTTTCATGATGAACACCTACCATCACCACACACCACCTCTAATTTCCCCATTTGAGGGAAAACATTTGATACCTTTTCTCCTGGGTTTGGGTTATTTTGCTTAACAAGCTACTGCTCAGTTCCCTTCATTTTTCCTAAAACTGACATAATTTTGTTCTTTTTAATGTGTGAAAGATACTCCTTGTATATATACCACATTTTCTTTATTCATTCATCTGTTGACCGGCACCTAGGCTGATTCCATCACTTGTCTATTTTGAAAACTATCATAATAAATATGGGTATGCATGTATCTATCTCTAAAATATGCTGACTTTAATTTTTCCAGTAAATACTGATGATTGGTACATGTGGACCATAAAGTAGTTCTCTTTTTAGTTTTGTTGAGTAACCTCCATACTGATTTCCATAGTGGCTATAATAATTTACATCTCCACCAACACTTTACAAGAGTTCCTCTTCCCCTGCATACTCCCCACCATTTATCATTTGCTTTCTTGTTGATTGCCATTCTGCCTCATGTATGAGGGAATCTCAATGTTATTTCGATTTGCATTTCCCTGAGGCTAAAGACAGACATTTTTGCACAGAAGAGTTGGCCATCTGTGCTTCTTTTGAGAACTGCCTGTCCATCTCATCCGCCCACTTGTGTAATGGGTTGTGTTTCTGGTGTTAGGGTTTTTGAGTTCTTTATGTATTCAGGATATTGATCCTCTTTCAGAAGGGTAGGCTGTCTCTTCCCACTGGTAGTTGTTTCATTTAGTATGCAGAAGATTTTTCATTGGCTGCACTCCCACCTGTGTATTAGTTGCTATTATTTCCAGAGCTGTAGGACCCTCTTCAGGAAGTCATTATCTTTGCCTGTGTACTAAAGTGTTTCCTCCATGTTTTCTTTCTTTTTTTTCCCAGGAAGCAGGGCTTTATTCTGCAATATGAAGGAAACATGCTTTGCCCACCTGCCCCAGACATAAATCGTTACCACTTAGGAACTGGCCAGCAATGCCCCTTGCAGACCCCTTGCAGGGTTCTAAAGACAAACCAGAGCTCAAAAATTCTTTCTTCTCTTAAGCACACCCATATCATTATTTACAGAATTCACTTTTACATTGGTATCAATAATTATAGTAAAAATTTATCACTAAACTAACTTTATTATATTTTTCCTTTTTTAAATATTTATTTTTTAGTTGTAGTTGGACACAATACCTCTATTTTATTTATTTATTTTTATGTGGTGCTGAGCTTCGAACCCAGGGCCTTGCATGTGCAAGGCAAGCGCTCTACCACTGAGCCACAACCCCAGCCCTATATTTTTTTTTCCTCTTAATTTTCTTTGTTAAATATCTTCGCTGTCCTGGTGACTTCTGCTTCTTGTTTTCTTGGTGTACACTGTGTCCTTATGCTTCTTTAGGTTTTCTGCACATCTCTTGGCACCTCAAGAGACTCTCTGCTCAGATTCACTCTCCAGTCTAGGCTGCACGCCCCGCTTTCTGGACTTCAGACACCTGAAGTCTAAATTTGTGGTTGCTTCTTTCTCTTCCTGGTTCCTTGTGGGGATGGCCACGCTTTTCTCCCTCACCTCCTCCTCTGCTGTGTGAGGCTGGGAAATCTGATTCCATCGTGTTCTAGTCTTATACCTCTTTGGAGTTGACAATTGTGCAGTGTTAGAAATAAGAATATAGTTTCATTCTTCTACGTATTGTTATCTAGTTAGACCCCATTTTTCAAAGAGTCTGTCCTTTCTCCAACATGTTTTTGCACCTTTGTGAAAAATCAGATGACAGGGCTGTGTGGGTTTGTCTCGGTGTCTTCTATTTTATTCATTGGTCTGTATGTCTACCTCTATGCCAGGACCATGCTGTGTTACTTCCTATGGCTCCTGTATTGTGTTTTGAGATTGGGCGTTGTGATGTCTCCATTGTTGTTCTTATCAATGAGGCTTGCTTTGACAATTAGTGGTCTTTTTTTTCTCCCATGTGAATTTTAAGGGTATTTCTCCAGATCTGTGAAGAAAATGCTTTGTATTTTGGTGGGGATTACATGGAATCTGTAGAACACTTTTTGTAATGGGGGCATTTTCACAATATCAGGTCTGTCTTTTCATGAACACAGGAGATCTTTCTCTTTTCTAGAGTCTCCTTCAGTTTCTTTTTTCCAGCATTCTGTAATTTTACTTCAAGAGGTCTTTAACCTCTTTGCTTAGATTTATTCCTTGGTATTTTAAAAGCCGTTTGAATAAGTTCTTATCCTGATTTCCTTCTCATTAGGTTTTCTATTGGTGTATAGAAAGACTATTTATTTTTGTATGTCAATTTTGTCTCCTGTTACACTGCTGAATTTGCTCATCAGAACTCATATTCTTCTGGTAGAACCTTTGGGTTTTCTAAGAAAAGGATATTTTCTGCAAAAAAACCCCTCACCTTCTATTTGTATCCCTTTTGTCTCTTTCTCTTGCCTACTTGCTCTGGCTAAAATTTCAAGTATTTTGTTTAATAGGAGTAGTGACCATGGACATCTTGTCTTGTTCCAGAGTCTAGAGAGAGAATTTTTTCCATTTCCCCCTCTTCATTATACTATTGACTTTGGGTTGGTCCTATTTGGCCTTTAGTATGATATGCTAAGTTCCTCCAACATCTAGTTCCTTAAGGTTTTGGTCATGAAGGGCCATTGAACTTTGTCAAAGACTTCCTGGAACTGTTGAAATGATTATATGATGTTGTCCTTTATTCTCTATGTGTTGTTTTAGATGTATTGATTTGCATATTGAGCCAACCTTGCATCTCTGGAACAAGACCAACTTAATCATGGTGTATGATATTTTTTGTATGTGTGTGTTTGTGTGTGTCAACAGAAACTCAACCCAAGAGCACCATACCACTGAGCCACATCCCCAACCCCTTTTATTTTTCACTTTGAGACTGAATCTCACTAAGTTGACCAGCCTGGCCTTAAAATTGCAATTCACCTGTTAGAGCATCCAATGTTGCTGGGAACAGAGGTAAACACCACCATGCCCATAAGTGGATATTATTTTTAATGTCTGGCAAGTATTGAATGAGGATTTTTGTGATTGTGTTCATCAGGCATATAGTCTGCAGTTTCCTTTCCTCATTGGGTCTTTATCCACTTTTCCAATCAGAGTAATATTGGCTTTGTAGAACTGATGTAGAAGTGTTCTTTCCTTTTCTCTTACATACAACGTGGGGGAAGACCATTGGTATCAGTTCTTTGAATACCTGACAAAATCCAGCCATGAATTCATCTGCTCCTGGGATTTTCCTTTTTGGAGGCCTGTGATTTCTGCTTCAGTCTTGCTGCTTGTTGTTGGTCTGTTTGGTGGGCTGTATCCCATTAACTCAACGTTTGTATGTCATATCCATTACTTTATTCATATGTCTCAGAATTTTTTTCCCATTTATTAAAATATAAGTTTTCAAAATAGCCTTTGAGATTTTCCCATTTATTGAAATGTAAGTTTTCTGAATCATTCCTAGGAGGTCTCTTGATTTCAGTGATGTCTGTTGTAATACTCCTATTTTTTATTTCTAATTTTATTCATTTGTATTTTCTCTCTTTCCTTTGGTTATTTGAGCTAATTGTTTATCAATCTTGTTTTTCTTTACAAAAACCAACTCTTTGTCTCATCGATTCTTAATATTGTTCTTTGACTTTCTATGTCATTGTTTTTGACTGGTATTTATTATTCTTCTATTGGTTTTTGAATTGATTTGTTCTTGTTTTTCTAAGACCTTGAGATGCATCATTTGTGTGTTTTTTTTTAATTTTAAATCTCTTGGATTTTTAAATTTAGTAGCTATGGTTATATATTTTTCTCTAGAACTGCTTTTCCTGAATTAGGGGAGAGAAGAGGGTAGAGAAAAGTAATGTACTGAGGAAGAAGATGGATCAAAATAGGTTATATGAATATATATTATATTCATATATATTATATTATATCATAATGAACCAATAAAAGAAAAGAAAACACTGCCAAAACCAAAATAACTGCTTTTAGTGTATCCCACAGATTCTGGGGATATGTTTGTATTGTCATATGATAATACAAAAATTCTGTGAACATCTTTTCCATCTGGCACTTCTTAAATGTCCCCCAATTTATTCAATTCATCATGCAAAAGTATATAGTTTGTTCTCTATGTGTCTATAATGTTTCTGTAGTTTTTCTTGCTGTTGGTTTATAATTACATCCCATTATCATATGATAAGTTGATGGGAATTATTTTAATTACTTTTGTATCTCCTAAGACTTTTTTTGTGTCTTAATATATGATCAAAAGTTTCATGTGCTGCTGCTGCTGTACAGAATGTATATGCTGTTGTCAGATGAAATATTCTGTAGCTATCTGTTAAGTCCATTTGACTTGAAGTATAGCTGAACTCTAGGAGATTTGTTGATAGCTTGTCTGTATGACCTAGCCACTGGTGAGAGTGGTGTATTGAAGTTACTCCCACTTATGGTATTGGGGCCTATCTGTTCCTTTAAGTTGAGTAGTGTTTGTTTTACAAAATTAAGCATACTGTAATTCAGACATAAATATTTATAGCCATTTATCTTCTTGTTGGATTTTTCCCTTTACCAATATGTAGCATCCTTCTTTGTCACCTCTGGGTAATTATTGCTTGAAGTCTGCCTTGTCAAGTATGGAAATAGCTGCTCCTTCTTGCTTTTGGCTTTCATTTGCATGGAATATTATTTTCCATTCTTTCACTTTTATTCTGTGAACATCTTTGCCAGTCATATGTGTTTCTTGCAGATAATGTACAAGTTGGGTCTTATTCTAATGTCTTTTAATTGGAGAATTAAGACAATGTACATTTAGTGTTATGAGGAGGTGTGTTACTGTCTGTTGTTCTGCTTTATTTGAAATGCAGAATTCACTCCTAATTCTCATTTACTTATCTTTTATTCTAGGGAGATTTATTCTTTCCCATGCTCTTGTGATTGATACTAATCTTCTTTTGTGTGGAGGATTCCTTTTCATATCTTCTTCAAGGCTGGCTTAGTTGTCATCAATGCTTTTAGTTTATTCTTGGAATTTTTTAGCACTTAAAATATTTCAGTATGTTTGCTGCTGGCCTTTAGAGTTATCCAGATACATTAACATAAGTGACTTGGTGCTTCTGTCATGAATTTATAAAAATCTTTTTGTTCTGAATTTTGGCATGTAGCTAAAATAAGATGTAGAGGGGTTCTGTTTTGGTCATGCCTGTTTGGACTTTAAAATGCCTCCTGTGCCTTGTTGTCCATCTTGTTTCCATGATCCACAATTAAGGAAATTTTCTGCTATGAATTCACTAAATAAGTTTTCTGTGGTATTAGCCTATATCTCCACTCCTTCCTCAAGACCCAAGTCTTGAATTTGATCTTTTAAAGTTGCCCTAGAATTCATGTATTCTCTTTAAATTTTCTCATTTTTATTACTGTCTGAAACATCTGCTTCATCCACCTTTCCTTCAAGTCTTAATGCTTTTTCTTTTGTCTGAAGTAGTATATTGATGATACTTTTCACTTAGACTTCTATTTTAGTCTATCAATTCAAAAATTTGTTTTTGTTATTTTTTCAGGAGCTATCATTTTGTTGCAGTGTTCTTTCAAAAATATGTCTGGCCTTCGTTAACTCATTTCTTAGTTCTTTTAGTGCCTTAAGTATTTTCACAATTAAATTTGAATTCTTTGTCCAGAGTATCCTCCGTTTCAATATCTATGGATTCAGTTATTGGGGAATAGGAACTTTTGGCAGTGTCATGTTGTCTTTCTCTCTCAGGTCTCCTGTTTAATATGTTAATGTTTGTGATTGTGTTTGGATGGATTTTACTTCCCCTCATAAATATGGGTTGTTGTATTGAGCAGATCTCCAGTTTGAATATGTCCTGAGCAGGGTTTATGTCTCATTGTCAAAGCCCTAATTCAGGGTGATTAAAGTGCTAGGATCACTTATCTGAACTTTTTTCAAGAGGAGAGAACAGCAACACACATGTTAACTTATAACATAAAACTTATAGTGATATCTATATAGATATCATTATCCAAGGGGAAGTTGTCAGTGATAATGTAGAAAGCATGAAAATTAGGCATTCCCGATTCTAAAATTAATAATAAACACACAGAAATAAGAAATGAGAAAATACAAAGAAAATAAAAAACAGAAGAGGAAAATAAAAAGTGGTAGATGGGAAGAAAGACACAAGGCAAATGAAGCCCCCCCCCAAAAAAAAAATGAACAGGAGAAGATGCAAATGGGTCTGGGGAGATAGCTCAATGGAAAAGAACTTGCCTAGCATGCACGTGGCCTTGGGTTCAATCCCCATCACCACATTAAAAAAGAAAGAAAGAAAGAAAAAAGTAAACAACAACAAAAATGACTAAAAAAAGAAACAATGCAAAGGAAAATGAGAGAGAAGAAAACAAGTACAAAGAAAAAACACAATAAAACAAAAGATTATATGAAATAGAATACATAAATAATGAAGAAAACCTGCACTAAACCTCACATAAAAGTGCAAGAATAGCAAGAAAAGTTTATGATTTCCCTTTGCTGATGTAATTAAAGTATAGACACTTGTTACCACAACTTCTAGTTATTGAATTCACCAGCTTTGGGGAGTTCCTAGGAGTAACAACCGCTTGTTTCGTCTCAATTGTAGCGCAAACAGGACAGATATCGTTGTGGGATCAATACTGAGTGTTACACTACTACTTGCTTACCAGGATGTGTTACGGGACCATATGCAGCTACAGAGGTAAGTCACCCTCAATACTGGTTTTGTGTGCCCTGGGATGGGGGTCTGGCTATGTTAGGAGCTGGCCGTGAACTCTCACATATGAAGCTAGTGAGCCAATCTGTACTACACTCCAGTTCTGGAGTCCCTCAGTGAGTGAGCTCAGGGGCATGCAGGATTTCAAGTCCCTGTGGGGTTTCCTGGCCAGTCTCTGAGTGTGACAAAGGTGGCCTGCATACAGGATCTGTGCTCAGTTTGGCGAGCTGCAGGGAACAAGCTTTCTACCAGACCCTGACCCAGCACTCCTAGCATCTTCCATCTTGTGAAACAAAAACACATACAGCTGGTATTCCTCACTGTCGAGAATCACAAAGCACCAATTTGAAATGGGCAGTGCATCTGCGGCCAACGGGCAGAACTGACCAATGGGCAGAAGACCACACCTTTTGCTGACCAGAGCTTTCAGCATATCTCTATCAGCCTCTAGCCTGAGCCCAGGCTATCAGGTGGATTATTACCATCCCAGTGAGGAGTGGTGGCCATGGTGGCTTTTGAGATACAAGAACGCAGGGGTTTTTGATCTCATTAGGAGTCCCTGCAATGGAGCCTTTCTAAAGGGGAGCCCCTCAGACTGAATCAGAATCCCCAGGAGAGTGCCTGAAATGGCTTCTGTAGTGAAAAGTGAGGGTAATGCCTCCAAATGCCTCTGAGCATGGTGGCGTGGCCAGACCAGGGAGATTTGCTCACCCATGTGGAGCTGTGCCCGGCAAGTTTTCTACCAGAACCAACCCTGGCATTGGCTCTCACAGAGCTCCAAATAACACATTTCAATGACAGTGCCCTGGGCGTCTGTCTCCTAGGAAAGACCATGCCTCTGGCTGCAGATTGGTCAAATTCTCTCTCCTCAGTCCAGCCTGACTCTTGTTGTAGGGGCTTCCTGACCCAGTGAATTCACGTCACAGGTAGGGGCTTAGAGATGTAAAACAAAAACGCAGGCATTCCTGAGTGCCCATGAAGAGAGCCTAGAGAAAGGACCCTGGGTGAAGATGGCCTGGGACAGAGTCCCGCAGGGAAGAATCCACAGTCACCAGCACCCCTTGACATCCCAGGCCGAATCCATCTTCCCCTGGCTAAAACTCTTTGATCGAATGTGGAGGGGTCTGCTTTTCTTGAGCTTGCTGGGATTCCCCCATTCACCCCCCACCCCCAGAGGGGAGCTTCCCCTCTTGCCATTGCACGTTGTCCCACGGTCCCCCCCATCCATCTGGCCGAAACCCAGGGAGCACTGTGGGCCTCTGGCTTCCACATTTCTTCCTAGGAGCATGTTATTTTATTTCTTAACTGGAAAGTGTTGTGTACCCTGCCCAATGAGTGTGTAGTGTCATGTCAAGTACAGAATCGCTTTTCTTACTGCTTTGTCATCTTAAACTCATTTTTCTATCGGTAGAAATTTTCACCTAAATATATTTAGAGTTTTGTAAGCTTTTTTGGACCTCAGTGCAGCAACACCAACACTCATCCATTTCTAGTCAACGGGACAAACTCCAGACTCATCACCAAGTCTCTTGTTTTAGCATTAAAATAGTCATTTAAATGATTTCAATGTGTACTGCTATACAATGGCAAGTGTTTATCAGAATTTGTTTAAATCAGTTTTCTAAAAGATGTCCACTTGTTTTTGTTGGGAATGCTAAGTAGGGCGAGGCTCACTGCAATTAGTTCCTTGTGGAAACACACGTCGGTCAGTGGGCTGTGGGGAACATGTTTCTCTGTCCCCACATCCTGTTTTCACAGAGTCTTTGTCCACCTGGAGACCAAAGTTAGGCTTAATCTGGACAGCATATGTGAGGTTCTCTTCTAAAATGTTTCAGTTTTCAATCTGTATTTCTCTAAACTTAAAATCTTACTGATTTCACAATTGGGAGATTCAGGTGTCTTCTTAGGCAACAATGAGGATATCTTTGTGTGAGCCTCATTATTGATGTTGATTTTACCAGTGTATCTCTGAGACTGTTCCAGAGAAATTTGTTTCTCCTATATTTGATGATGAACCTGAACAAGCAAAACAGAGAACAAAGGAACATGCAAGAGGTAAGAACCATAGAGTTGATACAAATCCATCGGATAGAATGTTGATTTAAAGCATGAGTACTAGTACATTCTAACAGTTTAAGAAATGTGCCTACTAAATAGGTAGTAAGGAAAAAGAGTGAGATGGTAATAAGTGGTATATCTTACCAAGTTTCAGGAACAGGTAAAGTGGACAGTGTTGCTAGAGGAGCTGAATCATTAGTGCTACTTCCAGACATGATTAAGCTAGAGGGAAATTGGGAAATAAGGAAACGTAGAGGAAGAGAGGTCCAAGAAAGACAGAGTGTGGGGAGTAAAGGAAGGAAAAAGAGGAGGTATGTCAAGGGGAGGGAGGGAGATTCAAGTCAGACCAGTATTAGAAATGGGGGAAGAATTTGTGAGTTTCTAATACCAGAATTGTCTGAGAAGTAGAGTAAGAATTTCCCCACTCTTCCTGTCTTCCTCTCCATTAGAAAGGCAATAAGGATTGAAGTCCTGATCATGCAGCTATCATTGTTGTTTTTTTAACCGTAAATAAATATAATAAGCACAGACATTTAGCCATGCATGTATAAAATTTCATGTTACCAAAATGTTGCCGTTTCCTAATGAAGAAACAGAGAATGGGGAAATAGGAAAGAGTGGGAATGCTCACCAAAGCCATAGACCTTGTCCACTGAAAAGATTGTGACTTCATACAGAGGTTCAATTTTGGGGACATGATAGGAAGGAGCCTGTGGCCAGATTCTGGAAAGGCAAGTTCAGGTAGAGGAATTGGAAGAGGTCTCAGTAAAGACAAGAACTCTCCAATTTTACTGAATCATCTGTTGGGAACCACGTTCAGTATGCACGTTTTGACTCAACAGATCTTTGGTTCTATAGTTCTACTACATTTAAAGGTAATCCTAATGCTCCTGGTCCTCAGACTTGTGTTTTGGGTAGCAAGACAATGGAGCTATTGGATCATGGTTGAGCACACAACCAGATGGAGGGAAACATAAATACCACTTTTATTCTGAGCATGTTTCTTGACAAAAGTGAAGGCCAAAAAAAGTCAAAGACACAGAGATTACACTTCTAAGGCAATATTGCTAAATTGGGAGGAAAGACTGAATGGGAATAATCCCACATAGAAAGAATGTATAAAATGGAAAGAATCAAGACCACAGATGTAGAAACTGCTTTTGAAAAGCAGAAGAGTGGGGGAAATGAGGAAGGAAAGAATCAAGTTAACTCAGTAATTTTGGAGAAAATGGTGGGGAAACTGAATGTTTTTCAGCTAGTTTCAATATATTTGCACTCAAACTATACATGAGATAATTATGGGTTCAGAGATTTTTGGAAGCAGGGGAAGCATTAGAGTTGGGGTAAACTGGAACTACTCATTTCTCCTTTTTATAGCTACCAGGCATTAGGCATGTGTGTTACATGGATGTTAGTTGTTCAGATGAGATTCATATCATTTTAGAAGCATTGGCTATATTTTCAAAGGTAGCTAACTTTTCCTTTTTCTTTTTTCCCTTTTCCTTGTGATGGAGCCTGGGATTGAACCCAGGGCCCTGCGCGTGCTAGGAATGCATTCTGCTACTGAGCGACATCCTCTTCCTTAGAGAGCTAATTTTCTGATAAGACAGACATGCCATGAAAATGCTTGAAAGACTAAGAAGAGATACCAAACCAGGCTCATTTTGGAAATAGAAGACTTTCTATAGAGTTTATTCCTTGAACACCAAGATGTTATTTTTAGTATATATTGCAATAATTTCAAAATATAAAAGTTTATTAATAATCTGATAATTCTGTGACATTTCATTTTACTTTTACCCCTCGGATTACCACATTTCAGGATTTGAAGCTTACAATACATTATTTCTTTGATGCAGCTCTTATATTTTCTCACATGGGTAATTGAACTATTTTTAATCTTCACATGGGTGAATCAAGAAACTTACAGTTGTTTAAACCAGAGGATATCAGAGATGTGGGCCCACCAATGTCCCATATGGGTATGGGATAACAAGAATATTTTATAAGCTGTTGTTCTAAAAGTATAGATCTAAGCTGATTAGTTCAGAGAACTTTCTTTGATGAGAAATGAATGATACATTCGATTGGATTGTTATCACAGCTTTGTACTTATTAACTGAGAAGACAAATGGGTGGATGGGATACATACTTGTAACAATGGGTTAAATAGTTCTCATAGGTTACCTGCAAGGCACATGCCATCATAGATATTTACCCTCTTAGGTCTTGTTTTTCTCCTCTGGTTAGATATCGCTTTGCTTTCCCATCAATCTGCATGTGCACATTGTTATATATCCACTTGCCCATTTTATTTATGGTTGTTGGAAACACAATGTTACTTCTGGAAATGTAACTTCATGTTTTATTTAACTGATATTCTGGTTTTCTTCAGTACATTTCAGTCATGTGGCTCTACTAACCAAAAGCGAACCAGCAATTGAACGTCCCCCGCAAACTATAGGAATCATCATCAAAGCTAAGCATGAGGATTTGGCTCTGTGTAACTGACAGAAATATACGGGTGGTTTTGTTATATTCATGCTTACTTGATTATATGTTACTTTTTTTTTCTTTCAGTGTTTCAGGAGACATATAATTTCTTGAAGGTAATTGAACTATTTTATCTTGAATTGATAACTTCAAGTTGTATAAAATGTACAATATTTATTAACATCTTGTTTCCAAATCCATCCAGCCTAATAGGGAAATGAAAGATTGTCTTCCAGATCAAGAAATTGATATTCTTGAATTAGGTAAATTTTGCAATACAAAAATATCTCTGTAAAATAGGCTGAAATCTTTGAAATACTATCAGTGTTTCTTTTCCTTCTTTTCTTTTTTAGTGTCCAAGTGGGATGGGGGGAACCTGAAACAAAAAATGGCCAATGTCAATGTTGACCTCCACGTTTCTTAAAGAAGTGTTTACTTGCATAAGAAAATGATTTTTAAAATGGTACTTTTTTCTCAGATGTTTCTTTAATTAAAATTCAATCTTTGCAATCCCTTCACCTGTTAGGGATTCGTGGAGGTGGATTATGAGATTCTAAATTATTTATGAAGTTTACAAATGCTTGCTGGAGAGAGCTGGGTAGTAGTCCCAGCTTCTTGGTAGAAGTTTTGGCGTGGACCCAAGAGTTTGAGGCCAGCCTGTGAAACATGGGAAGAACTCATCTATAAATATTAAAAAAAATAAAAAGTTGGTATCAGCTCTTGTTCTGCTGTGACACCTAGTGTATTGACTAATCACACCAAACCTGTAGTGTATTTTATCACCAGTTTATTCAGTGCCCTTCATCACTCTTAAGGTCAGGTTTATGGTAAGAAATCATGCAATCTGTGATCGTATATATTCTATTTTTCCTCTTTCCTTCAAAATTAATATTGTAGATATTGAAGATAATCCGTTATATTCTAGAGTAATGACTAAGAGGTAAATCCAAAACTATTTACCCATTACCATTGAATTCTTTAGTGAGATTTATTTTTCTTGCTTTCTCTCTTCAGTGGTAGGGACTGAATCAAAGGCCTTTTTGACCTATAGTGGCTTTGCCCACAGCCCTCTCTTAGTCATTGTTGGGCTTGGTAAATCCAAGAATCAGATGTTCCACACTCATGCTAAATGAGTTCCCCCGATGCAGACACCAGGCAGGAGAACTACATGGCAAACAGCAGAAGATTAACCAGCTCCTGTGCTTCATTTCACAACTCATTTGATAATTTTTTGTAGTTGTGAGAAGGGTCTGGAATTACAGGGACCCAGATTAGTACTTTCATTCATTTACTAAGTCTATATACGGGCACTGGACATTGTATATCCTGTGTGTTTCTAGAACATTCCCTCAGTCCAGGCCTGTGTCATCCTTACTTTGCTCTGCGGCCTTCTAATTATCCATCTCCACTGATGCACATGCACCTCACATTCATGCCCCCAACACTCCTAACCTCAGGACGGGACTAAGACATCAAGCAATGCATTAGTATACATATTTTATTTTCCCTATATCTGTAGATTTAGTGCTGTATTTTGAAGAGAATTGTCATATTTCCTAGAGTTATTCAGTTGTCAGTCCTAAGTTATTTGCATGTACCACTTCCATATTTCCTCTTCTTTTTTGATTTTTTTTTTTCTTTTCCATGGTGGGGATTGAAGCCAGTCCTGTTTTGCAGGGTAAGCATTTGCTGTATCACTGAGATCCACTCACTGCCAGTCTTCTCTTTAAAGTTGATGAGTCACTTAGGTCCTAGGATCAAGATATTCCAAACAAAATACCTAAATGATTTCCTTCAATGTAGGGAGATGTGTAAAAGTCAAACAACTGAAACCAACAACTTCCACATCACGTGCCTCCTTCCACATCACATTGGATGCCTTTGGTATATGGTCCTGAGCAGAGTCTCCTTTTCCAGAGGCCCATAGTTTTACGTTTCTTAATTTAATGCAACTTTATTCTGTGGGCACTGAAAATTCTATATCCTAAGTGTTGGAAGAGTTCATCAGTTCAGGCCTGTGTGGTCATTTTGTTCTGCTGCCTTCAGTTTCTCATCTCTGTCCATTTAGGTACATGCCCCTCATGTTCATCCTGCCCAGGACATTTGGAGTGATCTAACTCCAATGGAAATACGGCCATGAACTACTCTTTAGAACACTAATGTCTAAACAGCTTAAACTTACCTTTAAACTTTGACAGTAAAAGCTTTGCCTACCTATCTTTAGCCCTTTCCTAAGTCTGCCCTTTGCTCTGCTGTTCCTCCTAACCAATCCGTCTATTTTTAGAGCAATACAGACCCCTCTTGCTCTACCAACTTTCCTGCTCTCATGCTTTCCTGCCCTTTGGCTGGTAATCTCATTCTTTGAGTCTCAGCTCAGGAGTACTTCCAGAAAAATCGCCCCTGACACCATTAACCCCATTAGCAATAACCAGGAACTCAAATAAAGAATATAGCATCAAATAAATTCACTCTATTACACAAAGGTGACTTAAAAGATTGTCCCC